TTCGTAAAAGTCCCATTAACTCATTCCAAGGAAAAAATAGAAAATCTAACATAGAAATAACATCATTCCAATGTGATAACACGAACATATTTATTGAATTTGTAATGATTATGTTTGACAGAAACATTGGCCTCATAACAACATGAAATAAAACTGAAATAAAGTTAAACAATTAAGGGTCAAAATACATCATGAAATCATAGAGATCTAGTACAACCACAACCTAGAGTACAAACACAATCTAGAGTACAACCACAATTTAGAGTCTACACAAAAACTACAAGACTTTGCTCTCTTGTGTAAATAGAATCATGATCATTGTGTTTAAGACGGTTGAACATTAACGAAGTTGGCAGCACGGATGTAATGAAATGTATAACAGTGAAAGCACATACCACAGCCAATGTTGTGATGTAGTTGTGGACAAGATGGATTGGTCCTCTCCACGAAAAGCATGTGAGTTATCAGGAGATGATATATCCTTCTTGATTCATTCATGAAAATATGTTGAATGGTTTCAAAGAAAGTGGCAAAAAGGATCTAAAATGTCAAATGCCAGGTTTAATTAATTTCCTAATTTTTTTCTCAAATATATACCAAGGAAAATACAACAAACAAACAAATGTTGTCAGGGATGATTTGATGTTAATGATGACAGAATGAATAACTTTCAGAGCTACATCGGTTCAGCCATGTTCAAATTTGATTCATGAAATTTCCAAAAATGTAAAGATAAGGAAAAATCCCTAATATCAAAGGCACTATTTTATCAATATGGTAAGATGGATTGTAAAGAAATATTGAATGGATTGTGAGCTCTGCTCTCCAGACTATTACAGATCAACAATAGCATATGCTGGGGGATAATAAATAAACACTGTCCAAAGAAATCTCGGCAGGAATGAAAATTAATTTTATTGGCAAACTTTGAGAAATATAAACATTCTGATACATATGTATACCAAGAGGCCCTTTGAACAAAACGTTAAAGTTTTCAATCTAGTCTACAAAGCCTAAAAAAATGAAAATTTCCATTGAAAAAAATAAGAACGTTTAATAAACTTTTAAACAGAAAATGATTTTTTCCCTTGTTTGATGAGTATCTATCATATTAGGAAGAGAGTTTATGGATGTCAACTTCTTTATTATGAGGAACACAAGGTTTCTGTGTATATGCTTACTCCTTCATCAGGTGAAATGATCAACCAAGTCAGCGAGCCTGAACACCCGAGGCTTGGTGCTAATTTGCTTATCAGAAAGTTGACCAGTGACCTCCTTCAAACAGAGGTATCATATCAGAGTGACAGACTTGATATTAATGAGATTGTTACATGCGTTATGTACTGGAACCTACTGGCCCTGAATCCCAACAAGCAGGAATAACTTGAGTCCTGTACTGAACCCACAAGTCCTCCTGAACTTTCTGATTGGTCATGCTGATATGTGACCACTTGAGTTAATCAACAATCTTTAGGAGCAAACTGAACCCCACTTGTGAAGATGTCTGGGAGATGATGTGCTGGTCCAACAGTAAGAGTTTTCACAAAATGCACTTCAGTAGAACTTACATCAGTAAAAACAAGTATCAGTCAAACACAGGTTCAATTATGTCAAAACTAATTTTAATAAAAGAAATCCTTTTGGAAAAGCATTTTCAATGTCAAAAGATTCAGATTGGAGGTAAGTATTAAAATAATTTCAAGACAAATCTGCCTTCTGTGATTATGGTGAGTAATTTCTGCAACATACAGGTTTTGTGATGTTTGTCATCAATTTGTCTTTGTTTCTTTGTCAGCAGTATTCCAGCTACATCACAGCACCCTGTCAATAATCCGGTTCAATCCCATTGTGCCTACATCCAATTCTGCCTACATCCCAATTCTGCCTACATCCAATTCTGCCTACATCCCAATTCTGCCTACATCCCAATTCTGCCTACATCCAATTCTGCCTACATTCCCATTTGCCTACATCCAATTCTGCCTACATCCCAATTTGCCTACATCCAATTCTGCCTACATTCCCATTTGCCTACATCCAATTCTGCCTACATCCCAATTCTGCCTGCAACCCAATTTGCCTACATCCAATTCTGCCTACATTCCCATTTGCCTACATCAAATTCTGCCTACATCCCAATTCTGCCTGCAACCCAATTTGCCTACATCCAATTCTGCCTACATTCCCATTTGCCTACATCCAATTCTGCCTACATCCCAATTGGCCTACATCCAATTCTGCCTACATTCCCATTTGCCTACATCCCAATTCTGCCTACATCCCAATTTGCCTACATCCAATTCTGCCTACATTCCCATTTGCCTACATCAAATTCTGCCTACATCCCAATTTGCCTACATCCAATTCTGCCTGCATTCCCATTTGCCTACATCCAATTCTGCCTACATCCCAATTCTGCCTGCAACCCAATTTGCCTACAGAAAATAATGAAGGCACAAAGGGAACTCAGTTTCCTCCCTATTTATGTAAATGGGCTGAACCACTATTGTTTGACTTGTTTTTTTAATATCCATTGTCCAATCAAGTCAGGCTTGTACTGTTGCAGCTTCCTGTATAAAATGTTAGTAACTGAAAAAGCTGAGTAGAGGAATTATATACTTATTACTGTTCAAACAAGCCAGTTCTTAAGTTGAGCACAGATGTTAATACATGTGCCTGTATAAACTGTATTTTCTTTTAGAGATCTATGCCATTAACATTAGACTGAGAACTGTATAAACAACTGGAGCAGACAAACCAGTGATTGATATTATGAGCAACATCTCAGGCTGTCTTAGTATGATGACATACATCACCCAAACCACCCAGCCATCAAACTCCTTTAGTAGCTGCTTACCACACCCAACAGGATCGGGTGGTCAGACTCGCTGACTTGGTTGATGCATGTTATCGATCCCAATTGCGTGGATTGATGCTCATGATATCAATCACTAGATTGTCTGGTCCAGACTCAATTATTTACAGACCGGTAACTGAGGACCTTCCGAGTATTCTAACCCAAATATCCTGTGTACCACATGAATAAATGGCCCAATAATGGTTCAAAATGACAATTTGAGATCCGAATTATGTGAGCATTTTTAGTCCACACAAATGAATAGCAAGATAGTGTTCAAATGAAATTTTCAAAATTTGAGATAAGATCAGAATTATGATTATGTGAGCAATTTTAGCTTTATCACCGCCCAATACCAGAGTCCAGTACTGATGTCTTGTACCAGGGCCCACTTGCACAAAGCAATCTTAGCGCTAAGACTATTGTAAGCCTTTGTTAAAGTATGGGAGTTACGATCATCTTAGCGCCAAGATTGCTTTGTGCAAGTGGGCCCAGGTCTTGTTAATTAGTCTTAACATGATATGAACCATGTTTTCTGTGGTTCTGTCATCTGTGTATTCAGTTAAATCCCCCTAACTAGTTTCAATGAAAATGGGGAAAAAATCCTTTCATTTAGTAGGAATTAAATAAAATTTGTGTTGTTTTTTTCAGAAAGTTCATTTCTATAGGAACTATATTTTGGCTTACTACTTTTAGAAGAATATGCTCTGAACATGAAACAAGCAGCTAAGTCCCATTTGAGTTGTACATTCCATGCCTCATTGATGGTCGGGTAGGGCCGAGTTATTAAAATGATTCAAATATGCTGGCACGTGAAAAGTTACATCACACTATCCTTGGGTCGAGTAAACCTTTCACAGTGTAACAGCCCCTGACCTCATAAGCCACTATTGCTGGAATAATATACACAAAATTTCACCTTCATCACAGCGTTTTAGATAAACAGATGACATTACCAGATATATGGTGGTACTTGACAATGCTGGAAGGAAAAGTCCAAAGAATCACCAAAACTTGTGATGCAGTAATGGGCCAAAATAAGCATGACAGCTCTGAGATTTTGGTAAATACTTCAAAAGAAACCATTGGTGAAACTATCCATGCAATATTCCACATTCACAAGCCTAGTGGTTTCAGAGGATGAGTGTGTACGATGGATGGATGACAACACGTCTTGATAAAACCATATACTCTTACGTAGAAAACCTTAAACAGAGGTGAGGTGCATCACTTTGTGGTGTGAAGTAACGATATAAGATTTTAAAAGGAGGCTACGGTAGGCCTACAAGTAAAATATCCTAAACTGATTGGTGATGTACATTTTTCTTTTCCCATGAATGAATATCCGGGTTGGAATTGATCTTAATCAACAGGCCACTAACAGGATGGGGTGTTCAGGCTTGCTTACTTGGTTGATGCATGTCATACCCCAATTACATTGACCAAAGCTCATGATGAAAGCACTTGAATTCCTGTCCAGACTCAATTATTTACAGACGAACGTCATATAGCTTGAATATTTGTGTGGCGTTACACAACAAACGTTTCTCACACATTTTCAGTAGAGCAGGATATGCTTTTCTTGTTGAACACCGGGTGTCATCATTGATTTTCTGTGATCCATTCGTATAATTTTCATCACTACTTTGCCTTTTACGCCCAACGTAATCAGTAGAACCTTCAGCAGATAATCTGGATGATTGATCTCTGGTGTTGACATTTTGAATTTTTGTGTTCTAGAGTTTCAGGTTACTGTTATTAATATGGATTCAAATGCACTCAATGTTTCAGTCGGGCTTTCAGTCATTCCCTTCACGCTTGACCCTAGCTCTTGTCATGGCTTTATTATCAAGATATGTATTGTGACAAAGATTGTTTGTTTGTTGTTTTACGCCGCAATCAGCAATATTCCAGCTACATGACAATGAGCTGTAAATAATCGAGTCTGGACCAGACAATCCAGTGACACCATGATCATCGCTCTAGGCAACTGGGGTACGATGACATGCCTCAACCAAGTCAGCGAGCCAGACAACCCGATCCATTTAGTCGCCTCTTACGACAATCATGGGTTGCTGATATTGTGACAAAGTGTTTCGTTACAGTCTTACTACTGTCATACAAACATTACACAAAACACTGCCTTTATCAAACATTTATTTATGACGGAAACACATTGAATCATACATACAAGGTTTATACTATAAACTTTATAGTCCTTTTTTCTAACAGGTACATCAATGAAAACATCCAAAAATTAAATGTAACAAAATCCTTGTGTAACCATGCTAATCACTGTTACAAACTCTCCTTGTTGCATTGGTTACTATCAAAATAAACATTTTTGAAACTTCAATAAACGTTTCAAAACATAAATGTTTTAGACAAGTCAGAATTATGAACTACCTGAACTTTTATAACAGAAATGTCATTCTTTTACAGACAATTTGAAGAATGATAAATCAGTGTGCTTTCAATTTCCAAGGAACATTATGTTGTATCCGATTATGCTTGTCTTTGTGAATTATTTACAAGGTGGGAATCGACTTTTTTACAATGAACATAAACTGTCTCTAGATGCATTGATGTTAAACTGAACTTATATTTTCAAAGATCTCAACAAATACATCTAAAATGACTGAATGTATTACACGCATCAAGATGATTGACAATGATCTGAATATGGCATGTACAAGATTGACCTAAATCACACCATAACAAGCAGGATAATTAGGCCATTGGCAAATATTCCTAGTTCACATCTCCAGTAAATAGTGACTCACCCTACATGATTAAGCCTAATGGCACTTGCAAAACATCTCGCAATCTACCATTGACATCAGTGTTCAAACATTAGGATGGACCTTTGGTCTTTGAGTCCTTAGGTCCTTGGGTAATAGAGGTCTGCTGCTATAGTATTTGAATCTTACAGCCCGTATTATTTTTCAAAATTAGGGCCATGGCAAGGATCTGTTGACTTCAATCATTTTGAACCGGTAATGATCAACTATCACCTCAGCTTGAAGGAAAATGGGGTGTACGTACTGTGTCATTCTCAAGGTGTCACATACAACAGGCCTTAACAAAAGTTTCCATCACGGGATCACGAGAAACATACAATATATACTGACAGCATGATTATCACAAATGATTGATATTTGTTTTCAGTAAAATAGAAGTACAGGTTTGGATAAAAGATGGTGCTTGTTCTCAAAGCATCATGGTCAGAATACAAATTCTCTGTATCATTCATGATGTGGCTAAAGACACAAAAGAAATGGTTATAATTATCAGCAAGCATGTCTATTATGAATAACTAAACGTAGTACTTAAACACCTGAAGCTCGAGTTCAAACTTTCAAAAGTAATTGGGCCCTACCATAGAGCTTATACATGATGGATTTCAGGAATTACAGCAATGGGAAACAAGGTCTCGGCTAGATGCAAGATCAAAACGGCCAAAATGAAATCTCTGATAAGTCCAAAAATGTTTTAAACCATGTTTTAAACTATTGTACAATAGATTATGACATTAGGAGCCAATTTTCTGCCGGAGACATGAAGATGCTGAAATAAAATCTTGAAAAATCACAAAAGGTTTAAAGAAGATTGTAGAAAATCATGTGAGCCTGTTTAGCTGCCATATCGACTATCAGATTTTACTGTCATGAATACAATATTGGACCAGGCTTCCTCTCAATTTTAGATAACAATGACAATACACCCTTTATGATACAGGATCCACTTCCTGGTTAAATAATAATTTGTAATAAACGTCTCTCAATTAAATCCAAGAATATTTCAATGGCAGTCATTTGCCACAAAACACTACAGATAATAGTCAGTCTCATCACTGCTTCATTCAAAGGCTTGTGTACATTGCAGAGTAACAGAACCAGCACTTTTTTTAATAAATGGATTTTCATATAAGCCCTAAAAATATATTACTAGAATTCAGAGCAAAATACCAACTTCCTTCACTTAATATCCAAACAGATCTGAATTTCTGGTCACACAAATATACTGCAGTGACCGCTTAAATGACATTCTGTGATGGAGGAATGACAAATTTAGCAGCTACCATCTTGAATAATATCAATGTGTGGTGGCTGAAAATATTCTTCAGTGATTCAGTGACTTCTCTCTTCGCAACGCCATACACTTACCCAGAAAACTTAAATTCACGCTCTGAAATGAAACTATGATGAAAACAAAAGATTGTTAAATTGTCTTTCATAACATAATAGAAAGGTGGCTTGAGAATCTTATTATTTTCAGAAACTGAAGAAATCTGAACTTGCCAAACTAGATTTGCATGGGTGTTACGGGGTGGTTCTAGTTGGGGCCTGAGCCAAGACTGACATTTAAACATAAGGAATAATTGTGCTCCTAAATCAGCTTGCAGCTACCTTTTATTTGTCTTACTAAACAAGATACATCCAGACCCAGTTCCTTTTCTGTCATATGGAGTCTTCTCTATATTTTGCAAAAGTAAAAAAGATAATAAACAATTAAATTTGAAAAAAGCTTTTCTTAACACAATTGCAATTGTCTAAAACACTTTTAAGTCACAAAATTCTCCAGAAATCCACATGATCTGGCTTAAAAATATTTAAACAGATTCAATGCAAAATATACTCAAAACAAGTTGAAGTTCTCCCACTATTGAAAGCCGTGTGTTGCAATACCCACCAGCCGTGACAGATTAACTATAGTCATATGAAAAAAATGGGTGTTCTTTAAGTTCTTTCGAGTGGTACCGGGTATATATAATCCGATACTGGCCAAATAGCAATTCAGTGTTCCAGCCTTACAAAGTATATCATTGAACAAACATAACAAAATATTTCTTTTTCTAAGACGAGAACCTAACATGCAAGTAAACTGTTATCTTAAAAAAAAAGAATCATAAAAATGAGTAACATCATGTACAGAGATACATAATCATGATAATCATGTCAGCAGTTACTGACTGAGCATAGAGGAGCATAGAGGAACATGATGACATGAGCGTAAGCTTAAGAAACATCCTGAAGTATTGGTATGGCAAAATGATTCATTTCAGCACAATACTGCACAACAAAACACAACAATGTACACTACTCAAAAGAAGTTAAGAACACCCACAAAGCCATGTAAGATTAACTATTGTCATATAAAAGCATTGGGTGTTCTTTAAATTCTTTTGAGTTGTACAGTATGCAGAATGAAGTATGTACAAAGATGATAAATGCATCTCACAGTACAATCATGGTATTATATAATCTGGATATCTATATATTTGCATACATTCAGCAAAGTACAGAAGCCTTTTAGGACCATAGGTATTTATATTTTTTTTCTTGAAATTTCAAGATACTAAGATGTTCTGTTGAAATTACAATAAAGATGCTAACTTGAAATTTCAAGAAAAGGATCTTGAAATTTCAAGATAATAAGTTAAAATTTTAAGATTATAACTTGAAATTTCAACTTAGTAGCTTGAACGTTCAACTTAGTATCTTCAAATTTCAAGAGAAAAAAAGAAAAAACTGATTGGCCCTAAAAGGCTTCCTTAGAAAAGCGTCCTTATAAGCTTTTATGGCAAGACACACATCCCAAAATGCCCTGCAATGCATAACATACAAAAGTGTTATCTAAAAGTCATCTGGTCATAACATTTCTAGATGAAGTATAACGGCTATAAAAAGATGAAGTGTAAAATTTAGAATATGGATAGAAAGCTAACAAATAACTGCAGTTAATTTATCATGTAACCAATCAAGATGTGTTTGTCAACAGAGCTGTCCTTTTGCTATTTGCTAATTTATTTGTGTTTTAACATGTCTACAACCTAATGGATTTGGGAATAAGGGACACATTATAATGTATTTTCTACAGTTTATTACCTACAGTAGATACATTATGTATTCTCTACTGTAGATACATTATGTATTCTCTACTGTAGATACATTATGTATTCTCTACAGTAGATACATTATGTATTCTCTACTGTAGATTCATTATGTATTCTCTACAGTAAATACATTATGTATTCTCTTCTGTAGATACATTATGTATTCTCTACTGTAGATACATTATGTATTCTCTACTGTAGATACATTATGTATTCTCAACAGTAGATACATTATGTATTCTCTACTGTAGATTCATTATGTATTCTCTACAGTAAATACATTATGTATTCTCTACTGTAGATACATTATGTATTCTCTACAGTAGATACATTATGTATTCTCTACTGTAGATACATTATGTATTCTCAACAGTAGATACATTATGTATTCTCTACTGTAGATTCATTATGTATTCTCTACAGTAAATACATTATAATGTACTCTCTACAGTAGATACATTATGTATTCTCTACAGTAGATACATTATGTATTCTCTATAGTAGATACATCATAGTGTATTCTCTACAGCAGATACATTATGATGTATTCTCTACAGTAGATACATTATGTATTCTCTACAGTAGATACATTATGTATTCTCTACTGTAGATTCATTATGTATTCTCTACAGTAAATACATTATAATGTACTCTCTACAGTAGATACATTATGTATTCTCTACAGTAGATACATTATGTATTCTCTATAGTAGATACATCATAGTGTATTCTCTACAGCAGATACATTATGATGTATTCTCTACTGTAGATACATTATGTATTCTCTACAGTAGATACATTATGTATTCTCTACTGTAGATTCATTATGTATTCTCAACAGTGAGTGAGTGAGTGAATATTGCTTAACGCCGCATCAGCAATTTTGCAGGCGATATTCTCAATAGTAGATACATTATGTATTCTCAACAGTAGATACATCATAGTGTATTCTCTACAGTAGATACATTATGTATTCTCTACAGCAGATACATTATGTATTCTCTACTGTAGATACATTATGTATTCTCTACAGTAGACACATAATAATGTATTTTATACAGTAGACACATTATAGTGTATTCCCTACAGTAGACACATAATGATATATTCTCTACAGTAGATACATCATTATGTATTTTCTACAGTAGACACATCATGATGTATTCCCTACAGTAGACACATAATGATATATTCTCTACAGTAGACACATCATTATGTATTTTCTACAGTAGACACATCATGATGTATTCCCTACAGTAGACACATAATGATATATTCTCTACAGTAGATACATCATGATGTATTTTCTACAGTAGACACATCATGATGTATTCTCTACAGTAGACACATAATGATATATTCTCTACAGTAGATACATCATGATGTATTTTCTACAGTAGACACATCATGATGTATTCTCTACAATAGACACATAATAATGCATGCTCAATGGTTGACATATCATAATAAATTCTATATTAATTATTGGTGGATATACATAGCAGATGAAATGGCTCCTTGGAAACCAGTATAAAAGCCAAAGGGTCATTCTGATTCATTGATGATCAAACCATGCACCCCACAAATGGTCAATGTTTTCAAATCAAATTCCAGCTATCAGATCAATGAAAGGAGTATTTCTTTTACAAAGAACCATGCGTATAAATAAAAAAAAGATGGCCACTAAAATATCTGTGAACCAATCAGAACAATAACATGAGATTAAGCACAGATACTAAACAAAACTTGAATTTTCTTGCTTTCCCATGATGCTGTGGCTTATCTCCAAATGAGATAATGACCTGAAAAAGATGTCTTGATTTTCTGAAATTGACATGCACACTTCTGATACATTTTTTCTTCAAATGAAAAGCAAAGGTAGAGCTGTGTCTTAGCTCTAACTGATTGCTGTATATATTTTTTATTTAATCTTTTTTTGTAAGAAACATGCATTTGTTACAAAATCACATTATTGGGTGCCAAATTCTCAATCAGAAGAAAGATCATTCATTTAATGAAATCCATTAGTTGTCCTAGGAGCCTTAACCTACAAGTGTTGTATTCATGTCACCTTATCTAGAAGGTCAGACTGTCCAAACTGTGTTGTGCAAACAAGATCTAGGCTTTGGGCGAACTTTGCACAAAGCAAATTTACTTTACAACCATATTATTTAAGTAACTATAAAAAGTAACTGTATGGAGGTCAGACTGTCAAAATTGTTTTCTGCAAACAAGATCTAGTTGTTTTGGGGAAGGTTCCACAAAGCAATTTTAACCTACAACCATACTAACATCCTTGTAACTGTAAAAATGTCAATCTTTCAAAATTGTGATGTTCAAATGAGACCAAGGCTTTGGGTAAAGTTTGCACAAAGCAATCTCAGCTTACAACTAGTGGTGGGATGTTACTACAATGAATCGGTGGATCGCGATTTTTTTACTTTTTGATACAAGTATCGATCACAATTGCACACTAAGTAAAAAGTATCGATTCTTACCCTAAATGTATTCTTTAATAAATGTTACACCAAACACTAACTACAAGTGAAAGTGAGTAGTGAAAACGTACATATTTTCATCCATTGCACATACTTGACACTGTCAACAGTTAATTGTAAGTGCACAAGGTATTTTGCCATCCTGTCTATGAAAAAGATGGCTTACACACCACAATTAAGAGCACGTGCAAATATCGTGATACATATCGGATCGTTGATATGTATCAAATTGCCCAGATGGTGTATCGTCCCAGCCCTACGTACAACCATAATATATTAATGTCATTTTATATAGGAGGTCCAACTCTCAAAACTGTCAGACAAGCAAAACCTGGCTAAGAATTTTAGAAGCACAGCCATTTTCACTTAGCTCCAAGATCACTCAGGGCTGAAAGAGGTACTCTGTGTTGAGCCATACAGTACGGGTTAAAATTTTGATATCATGTGGTTCATGGATTCCAAAAGTTGAATGACCCATGTTCGGCAGACTTGTAAGACACTATTCTAATCATAGCAAATAATGTCAGTCACAGCACTACGATTATGTTACATGGTAGGATACAAATCTTATATTAAAAATCATATATTACTTTGAAACACTATCATTCATGATAGCTCTTGATAACAGTGACAGATTCACAAACTACCTAAACCATACCAAACATATAACATACACTTGTGTGGACCAATGAATGAAGCTGACAATAGTTTTAACGATACTATTTCCTACCAAGCAATGATCAACATGATTAAGGCTGAAAAAATCTTTTGTGAAAATAGCAGATATGCTACTGCTAGTTATAGAAAAACGTTCTCAATTTTACGAGACACAATAACAAACACATCAATGTTTAAAACGAAAGTAAACACACAATGCTATACATGTTGAATGACCTAGATTGCATGCTCAGATAAGATGATTAAAAAGAAGCACTATTTGAAAATGTAGTTAACCTTCAACAAGTTCAAAGACTATTTCCATGCATAGATGTGAGAAAATCTAGCTGCTTTGAAAGAGTCTTTCTTTCAGTACAGTCCTGAAAATAAATAAATCTTTGAAACTGAGGAAAATGTGCCTCCCTTTTTGAAAAAATAAACTTAAACTGGTCATAGGTTCTTCCTTCAAGATTAAACCAATAAGCAGTTCTGGAAAGGAAATCTTAAGGACATCAAGCCCTATTTGTGTAAAACGTGTACACAGAAAAAGCTAAACATTTCTTTGACCTAGGTACATAACGAGTCTCACAATACAAAAAATACAATGAATGTTAACAGCGGTGAAACATCCACTAGTATGCAACATTTAGAGTTCAAAAATATATAATCTTCCAAACAAGAGACTGCTGAAAAGGAACACAGATGTCTTTGATAAATCATCAGTTGCAAAGGAACAACAGTTGATTCCACCACGAAATGACAGGCTACAATATATCCAGACAGGAGATCTTCATCTCAAGTGGCAAGCCTGCGCTGGAGAGCATCCTCTTGAAGATGTTGGCCATCTTGTACTCCCCATACTTCTGATGCTTGAATCCATCTTTCTTATCAGTAATGGCTAGATAGAAGGTGGAGCCTGAGCTATGTGCTGTGGCTGGTCGCATGCTTCTATATTTCTTGTACAGAGTCACAAAGCACCTTTGGGGATTGTCATGCCTCTTCCAAACAATCTTTCCTGAAGGCACATACTCTAGATACTCCTGGTGGTTTTCCCGGCCAAGCTTGAGCTCCCCCCATTTCAAGCTGATGTGCTCCTTGGGCCGTCGGATGCAGAAGTGAACCGTGTTCATCAGCCACAGAGTGTTGAGTAAACTGTCAACTGACTTGCTGCCAAGCTGCCCGATTTCATAAAGCTTATCTACATCTTCAACCCTCATGGTGAAAATTGCATCTTCACAGGATCTCAGATGTTTCAGCTTGTTCTCCATAACTCTCCTAGAATTCTCAAACCTGGAGTCACTCTTGATACAAAACGGATAGCTATTTGTTGTAAGGTAGTTTCCTATACAGTTTTGGATTTGCTTTAAGCTTGAGGAAATGAATTCTTGGCCACCACTTTTCCTTAACCGAAGATAGAACTCTGCCAGAAGGGGATCCAGAGTTTCAGGCATAATGGTGTACGCTGGTTCCTTGACTTTCTTGAGGATCATGAACTGCGTGAGACGGTTGATCGCAAACTGCACATTCTTAGAGAAGGTAGACAACTCTTGCTTGACAATAACAGTGGAGGAGTCCGCCCCTCCTGAGCTTGAGTCGTCCTCGTCATCAGATTCCAGTTCTATCAAGATGTAGCTCTCGTTGTCAGCTTCAGACAGGACATCCGGAGTCTTCCTTGAATCAGCAATATCTGTAGAATGGGCCACTTTATCAGAACCTGTAAGTGACTAAAAGTGCAATACAAAGAAATGAACAAAGTTCTGTGAGTGTTGACAACACCAATAATCTTAGCTGTGGACTTCAAGGTTCCATTCAGAACAGGTTGGAAATGTATCGGGCATCAATGTCACACCCACGGGCCAGTATTCACCCAAATGGGAACACCAGAAAATGTAATAGGGTTCTCTCCACTACTGAATAAAGAGGCTTTTAAGCTGCTTTTATTTAATGAAATTTAAGTTTTGATCATCCGAAAAACAGGATTGACAAACCATGTACTGATGATGACAGCGTCCAATTGGTTCTAGTGGGTAAACTGTGTAAATCAAAATCTTTTGAAAACAATTGTCATGCATCTTTTTGGTGACTTCTTCACGACAACAATTATTTCAAATTACAGTTTCTACCCTTAGGAAATTTCAGTTTATGCTCCCTGCATTACTAAGGACATGACACAACTGTTTTATTTCGTAAAATTTGGCTCAAAGTGATGTTGTATTGGATCCTACACATGGCAAATCACAAATAGTTCCAAGCAGGACCTGTCTCCACAGCTAAAATTGTTTCACCAACACCACATAGTCTACTGTAATGAGAAAAATGTCAAAGTTTCTGAAGACAAAAACTCAACGTACAGTAGCCAACTGACCATGTTCATGATTGTCTGTAGACAAAGTACTTTTTTCTAACTTGACTAAACGTTACAAGGGTATTTTATGTTTACCCAGGGTAGTAAAGCTTTTGAGTTTAGTTCTAACCCTGGAGTGTTTTTGTGCTGGCTACCTGTCCGATCTACGGCTGTACCTTTCCAGGAGTGTTTTGTAGGAATGGTGCAAGCTAACTAACAAACAGTAACATGGTCACATAGAAAACTTTTTTTTAGCCTGGACTGAATATAATCATATTTCTGTAGTTTCCCTCTGTTGCTTTGCTTATAACACTGATACCTGTATGTGAGAGAGACATGTAAGACAGTTTTTCAATCTTATTAAAATCAGATCTTAGTTCTCGCTGCCGCTAAACAAAGATCTGAGGACATTCCCATTACGGGTCACGTCAGACCGACCTTTTGCAAACTCTGACCGACCAATGGAATTACTGACAAGAAGTCGACACTAGCCAATCAGAAGGCAGCTTTCTCGTGCTTTACGGCACTAATTTCAAATTGGTGACTACGCTTCGAAACCTATTTTGACAAATTCTCGATATAAAATTTGAAACCTGAACAGAAGAACATTCTCGAATGGCTAATATATGGTCTAGATTGTATAGATTCAGTTGATAAGCCCGTAACTATTGTTCGGAATATCCATATTTAAGGTTTTCGAGGCTGCATGATTAGAAATCACATTCCGACTGTCACTTTCATGATCTGGTAAGCGACGCTCTGATTGGTCGGATGAAAGGTCGTTCTGACGTGACCCCTAATGGGATGTCCTCAGATCTTTGTTTAGCGGTAGCGAGAACTAAGATCTGATTTTAATGAGATTGGACAGATTTTATAACAATCTTTGTTCCAGTTTCAATCAATCAATTACCATGACTACCATTTAACACCTTACACAACAAATAAGACAAACATGATCATAATGATGTAATGGAATAAGCATCAACTAGCAGGGTCAGCAAATGTGCAGCAGGTGAGAGTCTGGCCTTAACATTGATGACTGCTTCTCCAAGGGATTTAGAGCTCACTAACATGTTTATAGACATGATAGAAAAATGAAAAAGATCACACTACCACATCTCTGAAAAGTGAGTGAGTGAGTTTGGTTTAACCCTTCTTTCAAAATTGTTTCAGTAATATCAGGGCATGTCAGCTTCAGGTTGGAGGAAAGCCCAAAGTGATGCAGTGACGTTTACCACTTCAGTGAACCTATGGGCATGGGTATTGGGCTGACAAACCCAGAAACATAATCAGGTCAAACTGGGAATCGAACCCATGGTCATAGCTTTCTGGCAGGCATAAGGGCTGCAACCTGGAAAACAAATTGTGGCGCCTTAAATGACTGGGCCACCCGTACCCACATCTCTAAATAAACTGAACTACCAAGAATGGCATTAATATACGATATGAGACACTTCTGCATCAAGTGAGATTGAATCAGCTATTTCAGTGTTCTGACCAAACTGCCACCTTGCATCATTGCTACAAAACACTCCTGAAACGGTACAGCTGTAGATGGAACAAGTAGCCAGCACAAAAAAACTCCAGGGTTAGAACTAAACTCAAAAGCTTTACTAGCCCAGGTAAACATAAAATGCCCATGTAATGTTAAAACAATGGGGAAATTTGTACTACTCTACTTGCCCACAGACATTTTTACTAGCCTTGGACTAGCAGGCTAGTGTTAAGTTCTAACCCTGCACTCAATAAGGAAGATAACTCTCTGTAATAAGACCTCCTATTATTCACCAGCAACTCTTGATTAATAGCTAATGGATCTAACAACTTACAAAAACCCATCATATCTGGTTATGCATAAGTATAGAATACTGGAGACCAATCCTCCTTGCGAATCCTACAGGTGTGTTTAATCATGATTAGTATCGTCAGAGAAACCTAGACCTACTTCCCTTCCTTACAATAATACTCTCTTGGTGTGTACTGACACCGAGTTTGGTCAAACTGAACGGTGCTGAAGCAAAACATGAAAACATTTGCTGACCCATTAACCAAGACACAGAGTAAACCTGCCCAGCATCTGAACAAGGTGGGTTATGATGTAACTCCAATAAACTGGTGCCTGAAAAGATTAGTCAACAGTGCTTTCTCCCACAGCTGCGAACAATAAAGTTATTGCCCAACATTGGTCAAGTAATGCAGTTAAGGTTGAAACTCTCACTGGCACTCACGTATCATTTGGAAGTTCTCAAACTTAACTTGTCTTCTGAATGCTGAAAATTATTGTTCAATGAATGGCATGACAGATTAACTGTAGTAATATGAAATAATCGGGTGGTCCTAAACGTTTCCTTTGTAGTATACCAGTATCAGTGAACATGACAGCGTTAGAAATTGGCACTAGTCCTATAGTCCTTGCCAAACTGCCCAAATGGTAAAGGTTTCATAAGGACTAGTATAAATTTGCCCTTTTTAAGGGTTTTGCTATATGTTATCATTATAAGGACTAGTGGACAAAAACTGTTAGTTTCTAACCCTGCATGATGAAGTTCCTTTGAAATTCAATTTGCCACATTTTAAAAGATATGATACGAAAAAAAACCATTTTAAATCAAAAACATCTTCTTTATTCTGATATGTGTAAGTTGGGCTTAATGCCTCTTTGAACAGTATTTCAGTTACATCAAGGCAAGCCAGCTTCATGTTCAAGGAAAGTTCGAAGTGATGCAGATCTCAGACGTTCATCACTTTGGTGAAACACAGAACAGGTATGGTGCTACCAGAACAAGAAACATTACCGGGAGAATTTAAAATTCATACCCACGTCATAGGTTTCTGGCATTCGTAAGGGACACAACTGCAGAGAACTGTAATACCTTGGATGACTGGGACAACCCCCATCCCATCTGACATACGTAAGAGGACCTGATAGATAATATCCGCGATGTGCTTTAGTGGCAAGTGACCCACCCCCATCCCCACCCTACACTGCCCTACCTTTAAGCACCTTGGCAGAACACCGATTTAGTTACATGCTAGCAGAATAAGATATAAAAACTTGAGGTACAGTAGTTACAAGTACTTGCAAAACGAGAATCAGACCCTCAAAATTTAAAGTCTTAATGTAACACCATGTACATCCAGTCGAAAAACATTACTTACACACCTTGACCTTAATAAAAAAACAAAACAACTTCAACTATGATCAAGTCACAGAATTGTACAAGTAAAAGTGCAACAGTAACCGACAATAAATGATACAACCATGTTTTGCAATAACCTCAGAGATGTCCTTGACATTTGACAGACATAGCACCTGCATTAGATATGGTAGGATTTGGAAACATGCATGCAAATATCACTGTTTATGCCTGTTGAGAGGTAACCTTGCCTCAGAAACTGATACTTACATAACAAACGCTTAACAAAAGGCTGAATGCTGACCTTGACCTTCATCATAGTTTGACCTTAACCTTTTCGAAAATGTGCCCAATCCTAGAGAACGTATATACCAAGTTTAAAATTGTTACATGCATTAAATTCTTTTTGACAAATTGTAACCACAAGCTTTTGAGTGACATTTTTCAAATACATGACCTTGACATTTGACCTCACTGCATGTGCCAAAAGAATTCCCAAGGTCCATGTGGAATCAGACCATTGTAGGATATCCCCTATCAATAATCCAGCCATATTCATGAGAAAGTATGACACTATCATTGAAAATGACCTTTGACAGGAATATTTTAACATTTGTAATGGTAAGATTTCTGAAGAGCATATACATATTAAAGTTCCATGCCTGTAGAGATAAATCCCTTGGAAACCTATAACGATGCCATCATGTTTTCACTTTTAAGAAAAGCCAAAAGCTGACCTATCCTAAAGAAGGTATATACCATGTTTAATGATAATTCTAGGGCATTTCCATCTCATGACCTTGACCTTTGACCTTTTTGTGGGCCAAATCAATTCACCAAGGTATTCTGGAAGAAGCCCATGAAAGAATAATCTCTTATATCAATAATGTGCGCAGAAGTCATTAGAAATATATCACTGGCAGCTGCAGCAGTCAAATTCCAACCAAAACTTAAAGCAGACCTGTTGCATGGGGCTGGTAATTACAAAATTGCATGTTAAAAGCAAAGCAAAAATAGGGTCCAGATGACACAAAAGTGTATTCTAATAATTTGTTTGTTTAATATGAGGGAACACTAGCAGGTGTTGACCAAGTGTACATTTTGATAGTTGCGATACTGAACATGCTGAAGAGCATGTTTAGCATATTCAGTCTTCTTGGTTGAATAAAAGATGTGCTCTAGAAAGTGGCTTTGAATAATTGTCCTTTTCAGTATCATGTCAATACTACACATTACCCTTTAAACATGATAAGAAGAAATGCCAGCACTGCTACGTATTACTATGATGACATGTAGAAATTTGAAATATCTTGCTTCCTAATGTAACATGACAAGTGGACAAACTTAGACAATGTTATCAATAGTCAATTTACTACCATACAGGATGTCACTGTTTTTCTTAGTCACAATATACATGATATATTTTCAAAGCAGTTAGGCATCATAGCAATATCGAATCATATAAAGCAAAAGCAGTAAAGCCACAGACCTTCCCCAGTAAACCTGGTAGAGAATGATTCCGACAAGGAATGATATGGGTTCTCTTTGGCCCACTGGAAATGTAAATTTTACAATGTGGGCAAGCTTTGAAACAGTAGTTTGAAAATTATCAGACATGTTCAAATGTTTCTGTCTCACTCTTGCAAGATTTGGACCTCTAACATGATCAAAATGCAAAAAGTATGAAGAAACACGCTAAAATAAGTGAAAATTTCCGTTTTTTGCAAACATAAAGAATAAATCTATGAGCAATTCTGTGACCCAAAGTGATTACTAGGTGTGTGTTAACTTATATATTCATATACATATCCATAGAAAATCAGCTTGGGTCAAAGACTTCAAACATTAAAAATAGTGCTTCATAAATCCTCTAGGTCTTTAGATAGAAGTGAAAAAGGTCTAGTTATCATTAATCAAGTTAAAATGAACATTGCTCATCACACTTAATGCCCGGATTCGATTCCCCACATGGGTACAATGTGTGAAGCCCATTTCTGGTGTCCCCTGCCGTGAATTGCTAGAATATTGCTAAAAGCGGCGTAAAACCATACTCACTAATATGAACACATCTGATAACTTTCCCAACCAATTCTTAACGTTTTGCTCATTTACCAAATCATGCAGATCCTTTGAGCCAGAAAGACCACCATATCAAGCCTAGATAGCCCTTTAGGGATATCCTTTAGAGATATCCTTAACATGGTGTACACATGGGAAGTGGTCAAGCAAGGAAGAGACAATACATTTCTGAGATTGATTTCCAGAACCATGGTTGAACAGGAATGTACACAAAAACATGAGTATGGTATTGAACAGTTCATCGAAACATCCGATATTTCTACAATGTTCCATGGCATTTTTAAAAGAGAAATTAATTTTTTTTTATACATACACACATTTAAGTTGTGCTTTAAAAATGTTCATGTGGTTGAAATATAAACTGTAACCTTGCAACGATACCAAAAGCCAATAGTCACATTATGATGTGAATTGGGAGAATAGCAGATGTTGGTAGCGGACACAGATCAACACTTGTGAGATGAATACATGAAAGAGAAAGAGTAAGCCCACACACTCACAGGTTTAAATAGCATGTATAATCCTAAGCCATGTAAACAGGGGTACAAAAGTCACCTGGATTGCCGTCAACTGGTGCTGGTGCTGTGTCTGCTCCCGCCCCTCCCAAATCCTTGCCAGAATCTTTTTGATCATCTAGTAAACCCTCGCCAGACAACACCAATCCAGCAGATGTGGAGACAGCAGGATCAAAGTTCAAGCGGAAGGCTTCGGGCAGACTTGAATCACTGTCTGAGTTTTCATTGTACGATGCTCGCAGTGGATTCCTTCCCCGGCTTCTCAGAGTCATATTGGTTGGATCTACATCAACCTCAGCATCAAAATCAGCTACGCCTTCCTCATCACTCACTTCGGGTTTGTCCAGATTCGGAGGTTTGTCAAGTCTTGGTCGGCCTCGTTTAGCTCGCTTCTTTGCTGCAAATTCTTTCAGTTTTCTTCCAATCGGAACCATTGGCTTGGAGGAGTTTGATGCAACAGTTGAGGTTGGGCCTCCAATCTGGTCAGATGTATCCATGCTAAGTCTGGCCTTTTTACTGGGTAAATCCTCGTCATCTGTTAACTTGTCAAATGACATCATTGATGAGTTCGCCTCAGATGTCATTGGAAGTTCTGACGTTGTAGCTTCAGAGAGGGTTGCCGGATCTAGGGAGGCAAATGCTTCAGCTATGATGGATGGGGTGCTTGATGGATTCATTTCTGGGAAAGAAGATGGTATTCGTGATGACTCGATGTCAGGGAGAGTGCCTTGGGGAAGGGAAACAACATTAGAGATCTGTAAACTTCCTAAAGGGTCCTCTGCAAATGGTAGGTGAGTTGATGTCGCAACTGTTGGTGCAGGTGCAGATGAGGACACAGCAAGAGAAGATCTATCAGTCACTGAATCCATGAACGAGTTCCTAGCACTGATTTCCATTGGAGCAGTAGAATCAACATCTGTCTCCAAACCTGGGAGGTTTAACCCCAAAAGTCCTGGATCTTTTTTGTCTACACCTGAAGGAAAACTTGTAGGCTGGCTCATTTGGTCCCAGGTGTTCCTAGTAGGGTCTCCCAAAGGGTTGGACATAATCTGTCCAGGAGGCGTGTGAGGAGGCTGGGGCATCTGGGGGTAGTTCTGATTTTGATATAGTTGCTGTGGAACAGGTGGGGTAGGCTTTTGAGACACTGGCTGTGATGTGTGCTGAGGTGCCATGGTGTGCGTGCCTTGCTGTTGCGTGGGTTGAGAGCTCTGCTGTGAAACTGGTTGTGGGGACTGCTGTGTTACAGTAGAGGGTAAGCTGCGATTAGCTCGGGCTTCTAACATCTGTTGCACTATCTGTTGCCGTGATGGCCGTGGTTGTGACATGGGATCTGATGGTTGAGATGGTTGTGGCATATTCTGCTGCACGTTCTGGTGCATGTTCTGGCCTTGGTAACTCTGATGTCCCATCTGCTGTGACGCCTGGGACCCTTGGGAACCAGAATGACTCATGCTCTGATTCTGTGAAGTTTGCTGCCCGGGAGCAATTTGGTTCCGTGATGTCTGAGGTGCAGTTGGCTGAGCAACATTCTGAACAAGAGACACCGGTAACACCATTGACTGTGAATTAGTTTGTGCCTGCGAAGCTGGTTGTGAAGAAAGGTTATTGCTGCCAGATCTATTTCCTGATGGGAACGGAGGCCTGTTGCTTGTAACTGATGATGTCTCTGGAGTTAAAGGACTCCTGGTTCCACTGGACAGAGAAGAAGTTGAGGCTTCGCCCACAGACCTTCTGGGAGGAGGAACAAATGAGATGACTTCCAACTCATCAGAATCATCCACGGGAGATCTGGACTGTGGTGGCTGAGGTCTCTGGCCTGGTCCAAATGTCCTACGAGCTTGTATCGAGTTCACATTACCACTTTGCTGTCCCATCCTCTGACTGGGGTTGGGACCTGATCTCTGCACCGGTGATGACATGTGGCCCGGTTGCCTCATTCCCCCACCCTGTGGGTTCATCCGCTGTGATGGGTTCATCATCCGGGGGTTACCTCCTAAGCTAGGTCTCCCAACTGGATTTACCCCTGGCACCTGATTCCCTGACCTCTGACTGGGTGGCATGCCTCCTCTCATAGTTCCACTATTTGAAAAATTTGGGTTCATCCTTTGAGGACCCCCTCTCCCAGCACCAAATCCTGAGGACTGGTTCAATCTTTGATTGAACGACGGCCTCTGGTTGTTGTCATTACTTGGCCGCAACACACCAGTCGGACTCATCTGTCTGTTCATCTGCGGACTCTGTCCCATTCTGTTTAACCGAGGACTAGTCTGGTTGAGGGGTCTCTTTGCAGCTGGACTCATCTGAGACATGACGGGTGGTTCTCTCCTTTGACCAGGGCTTCTCTGGACAGGTAGGGGACAGTTCTTGAACACCTTGGTGCAGTAGCTCTCGCTGATGACGTTACCAGTACTCTGCACCAGCTCACTGAGGACATACCTCTCCTTTTTGGCATTGTCTATTTCTACACTAATGTAGCCACTCACTTCCACCATTTGGTCATAGCTGATGTAATTTTGACACAACCTCTGGAGGTTCTCCACAAATGAAGTGAAGAACTGTACCGAGTATTGCTTCTCCATCTTTCTTCCGTGATTATCCAGTTCTGAAACAGATTGACAAAACTTCAGAATGAGTACTCTGCCAAAGAAATTCATTGTTTTAAAGGCAAGTCCAGAAGGACTAGTACAAAACGTATGTCACTAATATGCCAAGTTTGAAACTAGTCCTGCTAGACTAATTCGTAGTGAGATAAAAGAATGGAGAACTGGTTGAGAATTTTAACCCCTAAAATGCTACCCCAGAGTTATCTCCCTTTCCGAGTCACTTGGCATGGGTGAGGTGGGGTGAAATTGGGTTAACGTCGCGTCCAAGATTATTGCACTTATATAGCGATGTGCATGCACGTGTGTGTCGCTGCTTGTACTAGACCGGACTTATGCCGATTTATAGTGCTAGCCCACTGAGATACCATGCCGCAGTTTAACATGAATACCCCACTCATACACAGTATACTGACTCCGAGCCGACCAGTCCTTGCTTTAACCCCTTAATGCCGAGCGCCAGACAGGGTAACAACAAGTACCAACTTTTAACGTCTTTTGGTATGACGCGGTCGGGGATCGAACCCCGGATCTTCCGCTCTCCAGGCGGACGCTCTACCACTAGACCACGGAGGCGGTCTCACTTGGCATGGACTTGCTATTACTAGCCATTGCGGACTACCATCACTGGACAGTTAGTTGTCCTAAGCAAAATTCAGGAGTGCGTGAGTGAGTGAGTTACTGTTTTAACACCACTTTTAACAGTATTCTAGTTATATCACGGCATGTCAGCTTAATGTGGGAGGAAAGCAGAAGTGATGCAAGTCTCCGACGTGTACCAGTTCGGTGAAACCCATGAGCACGGATATGGTGCTGACAAACCTAGAAACATAATCGGGGTGAACCGGGATTCAAAACCACAATCATAGGTTTATGGCGTGCCCAAGGGACGCAATTCTGCACCGTGAATCACGGTACCTTAGACGACTGGGCCACCCGAGCCCCCACAAAATTCTGGAGTATCCGGCTTGCTCCACTTCATTTCAATGCAGCCCCAGGCAAGATGATCATTGCAAGCCTAATATCCGCTTAACGATATGGCAATACAGTATTGTATTGCAATGCAAGGCCAATGATACCATACATCGATTTACAACCCCTGTACCGTGATACATATGATACATTATATTACGTTATATTGTTGTAAAAACACATGAATAATAACAAAAACTGTAAAACAACCAGCTTAATATGATATATGGAGAATCTCACCCAAGTGTCTTTTGACAGCAAATATACCTACATGAGTCAATAAACGTTTAAAACTCCAAGGCATGCCATGCTGAGGAGGTTTAAACTTTTATTGACCAGTCTTGATATATTTGATGTCAAAAGACACTTGGATGAGATGCTATTTATCATCCAACATTATTCTTCAAATTTTTTTCAGGTTGTAGACAGTAATAAGAAGTGTCTTAAGTAGAAAGTACTGCTAACAACTTCACTAGCAGAGTGATGTCATTTGATTGTGACATCATGGTAACCAATGGCCTTTAAAAATAATTCTTCCTGAAACTTGTGTCAAGTCACTTTTCATTTGCCTCTGTTCATGTGCTGCTGAAGTGTGTCCCATGTCACATCAGCCCATAAAAGGGAAATACATAGGCTTCCAGCATTAGAAATTGGCACTAGTCCTGTAGTCATTACCAAACTGCCCAATACATGCAATAGTAAAGGTATCCTAAGAACTAGTAGAAATTGGCCCATTTTAAGGGTTTTGCTATATGTTATCATTATAAGGACTAGTGGACAAAAACTGTTAGATTCTACCTCTGATGGCTAACATACAATATGCTAGATGTGACATTTTGTTAATTATTCAATGAAGTAGAGTTAAACAACCCACTACACTTGTTTTGATCAATAAAGATCTGTAAAGATATACAGGTATGTAAACTGTTTGTTTGTTTGTTGTTTAATGCCACACTCAGCAATATTCCAGCTATATCACGTAATTCTTCATAAGTATTTGTATGCAAGCAAATGAAAAATATTTGAAGTGTGGTTTCTCTCCACTTTGTGTATTTTAAACAAATATGCCGCATTTTCAGTCTTGGACATTGGCATTAGTCCTGTAGTCCTTGCCAAACTGTGCATAAGGACTAGTAGAAATTTGCCATTTTTAAGGGGTTTGCTATATGGTATCATTATGAGGACTAGTGAACTAAAAATGTTAGTTTCTACCACTGATTTTGGACAAACCGTATTCGACGTAATAAGCGCCCAGGGCGCACTCAAAATTAGAATATTATTTTGGTTAAAAAAAAAGTTGAGTTGAAAGATAAATTTTGTGGTTTATGCTGACAGCATGAAATGTTTATGTACGACAGACATATTTTTCCCGAATTTAATTGCCCATAATTAAGTGTGCATATAACGAGTGCGTATTATACGCGAATAAATAAGTCTTGTGTACATTAATCAATGGGAAGGGGTGCTAATTGGGATTGTTCACTAGCCAATATATGAGCAAATATCGCTGTGGGCGTTTATTAGAGCGGGGCGCGTATTACATCGAATATGGCATGTGTAGCCTATCTGGAGATCTCATTCAGCAGCATTCCGGCTAAATAATGGCAGCCTGCAAATGAACAGAGATTATGGAGTCATAACCAGAGAATACAGCAACCTTTGAAATTCATGCCAGCGCGCTAGACAGATAAGATAACAATAACAAAATAGCCTTTAATGTTTATCATCATTATTGAAACTACAAACTATTGCCATTATCCTTATTCATAGACATAAACAATAAAATTAATCACTAAACAATATTATATTTTTTCAAAGGTTTCAAAAGCAGCTCGGTGAGCATAATTACTATTCATGTACAACTGACTTTGTAAATGAATGTTTAAGAAACAGGAAAGGGAGAGAACTCTGGTTTATATTTCATAACTAAACAATTGACCTGGAATAAGGATTTAATAGGAAAAAAGACTGTTAAATAATGTTCAAAGACGTGAACTGATACAATATTGAATATGTTCCAACCTTAACGCATAGAAAATGTGTTCAAATGTTTGATAAACCTCACAACATTTTATCGCCATTAGCAACTTTGATAACATCAGAGTTCAGGTTGAACTATGATCTAATACCACGCTGATACAGTTTTGAAACACTGGAAACAGATTGTTGTAATTGAAATGAATCACTCTCAGGAGAAACCCACAGTCTACAGAGACAATTATTATCTGAATAATACACAAACGCATCAACCCAAATATTATATAGCTGAATATATAGCTGATAAATTGTACTTTACTTTAAACCCAAGAATATAATAAGGCACTTTTATGAATACTGTACTTTTTAGAGGAATAATAGGAAGCTACAAATGCTTTCAATCAGATAAGATAAATAAGCCGATAATACGCTCCAGGTCAATGTGACACTTCGCTGGTAAGACGAAGAGTAACCGGTTTTTAGAACTAATCAAGGGAAAATACTGTGAAAAAATTGTCAAGTTAGTAATCATACAATCAGATATGTATGTCAAACTACAAAATAGAGATTGCGGTAATCTTAGGTAGGTAATCAAAACCAGGAAATTCTCTTGAAAATTTGAAATTGTTGTATTTTCGTTACACTTTTGCCTCTGCCACGTCAATCTGAAATTAGATTTATGCGGCAAATACTGTGATATACTTGTAAAATAAGTGTGCATATGATGCAAATATAATCAATTCAATGTATCATACCGTTGGCAGTTAGAAATTAGAGCCAGTTTAACGCATTTTTAGTTGAATTTGAAGCAAGGTTTGCTTCGGCGTGTGCTTGTTTACGATAAACCCAACTTCCGTCTTGTCACTTCCGGTTCCAAATTAAAAATCCGGACGATTCGGATTTCAAGCGAAAATTCAAATAAGCTCAATTTGAGCTTAGGCACGAGATATCTGTTATTTTTTAATGAGTTAACATTTTTACGGTTCTAACAATTTGAAGTTAACCGAATTTTGTAAACAAAGTACAAAATACATATGACTTTTGTATGAACTAGAAGTTACAAACAAAATCATGTAGTAAAACTTTCCAGTGTTAAATGTATCTATACATGGCATGTTCACAATAGAAGGTCTTATATGTCATCTTCGAATCTTTTGTCACACATTCGAAATGCAACTATATTTACAGCGAAATCTCGAACATCTAGCTGATATTCATGACAATATTGTCCCGACATAATCAATCTTCACTCGACCCGTGACAATCCGGGGTAGAATAGGTTTAAGCAACCCACGCTTGCCGTACAGAAAGGCGACTATGCTTGTCGAAAAAGGCGACTAACGGGATCGGGTGGTCATGCTCGCTGACTTGGTTGATGCATGTTATTGCATCCCAATTGCGTGGACCGACGCTCATGATGTCAATCTTTGGATTGTCTGGTCCAGACTCGATTATGTTCAGACCGCCGTCAATAGCTGGGATATTGCTGAGTGCGGCGTAAACAACAAAGAAACAAAGAAACAAGTAACGTCAAAAGACAAATTTCATATAGCTGGAATATTGCTGAGTGCTGCGTTAAACAACAAACCAACCAACATGCATCCAGCTTTCATCTGAGCAAAACTGATAGTCGTGCATGAGTCTACAGGTGAATGTTTTAGCGACGCTACCGGGACGACATCGTTCGAGGTCATATTGTGTTCCCTTTGTGCAAATGCATGGACGTAACGTCACGTTGCAACAGGGTGATGCCAACACACATGATTCACGCGTTGTAACAAACTTTTTGAGGCAGCATAACCTTCCTCCAGGAGAGGATATTTTTGATTTGATAAGCATTAAAATGTCTGGCAACTTCGTGTTGCGCAATTCCTGTTTGCAGCATATACCGGCGACGCGTTGACGTTGATTCTCAACAAGCCGTGGCATTGTGTAAGTGTTATTTACGGTTATATACGGTTAATGGGTGTTTCAGGATCACCTGACAGCTGAACAGTCAATGCGGGCTGTTCACATTTTAAAAAGCACTTGTTTAGCATCATGCACCCAACAAACACGTAAAAATCCAAATTGTGCGCCGAACACGACTATGCTTGTCGCAAAAGGCGACCAACGGGGTCGGGTGGTCAGGCTCGCTGACTTGGGTTATGCATGTCATAGATCCCCTGCGTGGATCGATGCTCATGATGTCTATCACTGGATTGTCTGGTCCAGACTTGATTATTTACAGACCGCCGTCATATAGCTGGAATATTGCTGAGTGCGGCGTTAAACAACAAACCAACCAACCGTAAAAGGCGACTAGGCTTGTCGTAAGAGGCGACTATAACGGGATCGGGTGGTCAGGCTCGCTGAATTGGTTGACGCATGTCACCGTAGTCCATTTTCATGGATGGATGCTCATGATGTCATTCACTGGATTGTCTGGTCCAGACTCGATTATTTACAGACCGCCGTCATATAGTTGAAATGTTGCTAAGTGCGGCGGGAACAACAAAGAAACAAACAAACAAGTAACGTCAAAAGACAAATTTCCTGATCAACCGATACTTAATTCCTTGCAGCAAGGAGTATATATAATATTCGTATATATGGTCTCTGGAAGTGGAAATCTGGACACTGAACTCTATCGGAGGCGACGTATATTATAAGGGAGATCAACCCGCACATGATTGCAGTTTACAAAATAGTCGTTGCTTGGAACGGTGAAGCAGAATTGTTGCCTGTAAAGAACCTTTCATAATATATTACTCTGGGTGTTGGGGGCATTTTCCAAGTATATTTTGTGCAATTAAAATCCATGCATGGAAAAGAATGCATGGAAAGTACGTGACACGGTTTAAATGGACCCTATGGTGGCCCTGTACTTCGAGAATTCATACGTTCCTTCGCCAACATCCTTCTTTTCTGACAGAAGTGAACTTATCATGTACAGTACACTACGGTTATAACGAACTACAAGGGACCACTTATTTTAGTTCGTTATAACCGACGTTCGTTAAAAGCGTAGTTTACTGTATTCTCTTCAGCATCAGAGTCCCAAAGACAGACGACCCGTGAAGATCCGGGGTAGAATAGATCTCCAGCAACCCATGCTTGCCGTAAAAGGCGACTATGCTTGTCGTAAAAGGCGACTAACGGGACTTGGTTGATGCATGTCATCGGTCCCAATTGCGTGAATCGATGCTCATGATTTCGATCACTGGATTGTCTGATCACTCGATTATTTACAGACCGCCGTCATATAGCTGGAATATTGCTGAGTGCGGCGTTAAACAACAAACAAACAAACAAACAAACAAACAAACAAACCAAACCCAAAGACAGAACTCCCAGGCTATTTTTCCCTTACAAAATTGTACATTTGGCCTATGAATCAGGGGAGCTCTATATGTAGTTTGTGAAGAAATCGTGTAAGCCAATGTGTGGGTTGTGTTCTGAATGGCCTGAACATGTCCTACAATCCAAAGTATTTAGCAGAGCTAGCACACGGCCAAGTAACAACTCCATATCAAGAGTACAAGCAGATGACACAGTTAACGACAGTGATGACAGTGATGACAGTGATGACAACAATAACACCAGGAATGAAAACAGTAGCCAGGGCAATGAAATACTCAGAACAAGAGTGGACGACACAGAAGCTGTTACTGCAAACGAGTCAGGTACCCTATCTCTAATCCTCAGTCACATAATGCAGCTAAAGCAATGTGTATCTAAAAACACGGACCATATGTCAAATAGAATCTCCTTACTGGAAAAACAATTTCAGGAAGTTAAGGTTCAGCAAACATCTGAAATTGAAGCTCAGGGCTCGGAAATTAACATTCTCAAAGAAAAACTTATGGAATCAGAAAACAGACGAGCTGAGGCACGATCTGAATTAAAGCTTCAAAACCAGGTAATCAAAACGTACAAGGACAGGGTAAATGAACTTGAACATGAACTCCTAAGATTAAACTACTTAATAGATTCCAAGTTCAAGGCGACAATGAATAGACAGGAAGGCATATCCTGTAAAAGTGAAGTGAAATCGTCTTATGCTTAGGCTGTAAAGTCTACTACAACGTGTCATACATCTGACACAATCCACGCAAATACTACTACACATGACGCATTGTCCCCAAGTGCTCAAAGGACAACTCCATGTGACCAGCCAAACCCCTCCCAGGCATTACAGACAGAGCATTTCTGCTTCCACGGATACCGAAAACGATCTTCTAAGGATTCCTGGTAGTGACAGTGGCCATCACTCACACACTAGAAACACTAGCAATGAAAGTGCAGTTGGTAGAACCCCCTTTCATGCAACTAGGCAAGATAGGCCTCCATATGCATCGGAACCTTAGCAGCAATACATTACAGCATCAACCAATGCCATCGTTGATCTTTCAGACAGAGAACATCTTATGAATATATATTACGAAAACGACAATGGACTTACTTTTGGAAACACAGTGCACAATGCAGAGTCTACACATGCACAACGCAACACAACGAAGACTGTGAAGGAAAAATCGCAGAATATACGATCTCTGGCTAAATCCTACACTTCACCAGAGGGTGTCTTTCGTGTTCGAACCAGTCGGATCGTTCTCTCCAACATTCGTGCAGATAAAACTTTTGATGAGACAAAGAAATTAATCTTGGACTATTGTCAGCAACACCCTGTGCGCGCAACATATGTTAAGCTATAGAAACAGAGACGCCATTACGACACATCTGAGACCTTCACCATACAAGTAAATATTGACTCTTCTGACTAGGAGACTGTCATGTCCAATGAGGTCAGGTGAAATTGGGTTTAACGTCGCGTCCCAGATTATTGCACTTATATAGCGACGTGCATGCACGTGTGTGTGTGGCTGCTTGTACTAGTCCGGACTGATGCCGATCTATAGTCCTAGCCCACTGGGATACCATGCCGCAGTTTAACATGAATACCCCACTCAGACACAGTATACTGACTCCGAGCCGTCCAGTCCTTGATCTATCCCCTTAATGCCGAGCGCCAGACAGAGTAACAACAAGTGCCATCTTTTAACGTCTTTTGGTATGACGCGGCCGGGGATCAAACCCCGGACCTTCCGCTCTCCGGGCGGACGCTCTACCACTACACCACGGAGGCGGTCTCCAATGAGACATTCTGGCCTCCTGACATTACATGTAGAGACTTCATACCATGGAACAGACGTTATGGAGGCACAGGTAACAACGAAACAGGCAGTAGTCACCGTCGTTATTGACCTAAATGGTTAACTAACTGTGCAATGTAACTAATTGTCATCATGTATACGTGTACATTGGTATTCCTAATAGCTATTAACCTTCTTACCTGGAACGTACGTGGGCTACTTTACAACACAGACCAGATCTGTGCATTAATCCCTGATGACATAGATGTATTAGCTATACAAGAACATTGGCTTTACGAAACCAATAAGGATAGTTTTCATGTATTGTCATCTTTTAAGCTAGTTGATTATAAATGTGAAAATAATATAAACTACATACAAAGGATCTGGTGGGATTGCTATCCTTGCAAATAAACACTCAAAATGGAAAATATAAAAGCTTAATATCAAACGTCAATTGATTGTTGGGGTAACTGTAAAATCTCCCTGTTTTGACACAACTTGTGTATTAACAAGCCGCCTTCCTTCTACCAATGTACTTCACTCTGTTTATGTCGATGCCCTAAATGAACTAATAGATGCTTACGACCATTTTAGGGAAATTGGCGATGTTATCATTCTAGGTGATCTAAATTCAGATATTAAAAAAGATATTCTAAAGCCGCGTGACAAATTGCTTTTAGACGCTATCAACCAGCGATATCTGCTTAGTGCAGTGTCCAAGCTACGCACACGTGGACCAGGTGTTACTTGTAGGAGTAAAGACAACTTACATAGATCACTTATTGACTACAAACTTCTACCATCTCACCTGAAAACCTCAGTTGTTAGATGTGATGTGTTAGATGGATGTACGTACGATGTATCAGATCGCATGCCCTGCTACGTGTCACTCTTCCGTACGGAATGTAGTACTAATAGTCTAGTGGAGATAGGAAGAAAACTGTATACACAAAATGGGCAAAAGCAGGTAATGAACACATAGCCCAATACCGATCCGAACTGGACTTATGTTTACAAGATATTAACTTTCCACCAGGTGATATATCACCCGAGAGCATGGAAATGTATAACTCCGCGATTGCTAATGCTTTGTTAATATCTGCTAAACGTACCATTCCCGTCTCTGTCTACAATTCCCACTTAAAACCTTACTGGAAGGAGAATGACTTACATCATATTCACTATGAAATGAGAGCTGCCAGAAGACTTTGGTGTGCTGATAGTAAGCCAAGGGGACGTAACTCTACAACATATGTTGAATATAAAACTGCTAAAAGCGAGTTTAGGCGTTTGCATAGGATCGCCAAAAGGAGATATAGTAAAGAGGGGCGTAATGAGTTAGCACAGTCCTGTGAAGCAGACATTAACACTTTTTATAAAACAGTGAGGAAACAAAAGCGGCAAAATCGATCGGTGACGAAGCTCAGTTACAGTGGTCAAACAGAATCATCTTCTTCTGGCATATGCAAACTATGGGGAGATTACTACGCTGACCTATCGCAGCCTTACTACACTGGTAGTTTTAATGATAATTTCAAATGTCGCATATGCGACAAGCTTAAGGAGATCAAGGACAATTAGGTTGGGGATCAAACTGATATAGATGAAGAGTTATACAAAAGTATAGATCCTAGAGAAATCTCCTTACAAATACAGTCTGTGTTAGAACAAAAGTCCAGGTCCAGACAACGTGTGCAATGAAAACTTGTTGTTTGCAAGCAGTAATCTTCACGCGAAACTTACCACTTTATTTAATAACATAATTCTCAAAACGGAATATCTCCCAAACAAATACAGACTGGGATGGTAATCTCTATCTATAAGGGTAAGAAAGATAAATCAGATCCAAAAACCTATGGGGGAATTACTCTAACATCATGTCTGGGAAAATTATTTGAAAAAGTAATTTTACAGCGATTGGAAGAATGGTGTAAGGTACATTGTCCATCCTTTCCAGACCCTCTACAATTCGGATTTCGAAAAGAGCATGGCCCCATCCTGTCTGTCTTTACATTACATGAATGGGTTAATTATTATTTATCCAGAAAATCACCAGTCTATGCAGCCTTCCTAGACAATGAAAGGCCTTTGATCGTATTTGGCATGCTGGTCTAAAACTGTATAACTTAGGCATCAAGGGGAAGATGTAGCATCTTCTCTATCAAAGTTACAGCACTAGTACAGTAAACTACGGTTATAACGAACACGCTTATAACGAACTGACGGATATAACGAACTTACTTTTTGGTCCCGACTATTTGCTTTAGTTATGCTGTATATATGCTTATAACGAACTACGGTTATAACGAACTTAAATTAGTAGTCCCTTTGAGTTCGTTATAACCGTACTTTACTGTAGTTCATATGTCACCTACTGTGGTGAAATATCACATACTTTTCCTGTTGAGCAGGGTGTCGGGCAAGGACGAGTACTTTCTCCGTGGCTCTTTCTTGTTTATATTAATGATCTGATCTGTTCCTATTAAAACATGAGATTGTGTAACATATGGGGGAGTCATTCTAAACACTAAATTGACATGTACAAATATGATAGTGCGATGTTGCCAAAACGCAAGGCGCACAGTAAACTCACTCAAATCTGTAGGATTAAATAGCTATGTACGTGTTAAAATATGGAACCGAATGGTTCTCTCTACCAGCTTCTATGCGTGTGAGCTGTTAAGCGGCATGCGTGGTAAGGATACGATTCAGATAGAAAATGTTCAACGGCACTTTGCCAGAGTCATCCAAGGTCTAGACCAAAAATCATCAACTGATTCAACCATAGCAAATCTTGGAATGTGGACGCTGACAGGATACATAGACAAATGCAGACTACTACTCCTCGGAAGACTGTGTACAAACTCATGCTTCTCTCCTATTATACTATATATGCACGGGCGGTCGGGTAGCCTAGTGAATAAAGCGTTCGCTCGTCACGCCGAAGACCCAGGTTGGAATCCCGACATGGGTACAATGTGTGAAGCCCATTTCGGGTGTCCCCCGCCGTTATATTGCTGGAATATTGCTAAAAGCGGCGTAAAACCAAACTCACTCACTCACTATTATATGTGCATACTTAGCCTTAGTCAATGTTGATAATATCAAAACTAGCACCAGCATATGTGACACAATCATATTAACTGCTTGTAAATATAAACTTAAAAATGCCATTATGAACTTTATCAGTACTGGAATACTTCCTTGTAAAAAAGAATGGAGAAGGATTGTATGTGATGCAATATCCTCATATGAAGAAGGTAGGAGGAAACTCAGACTGTCATTGAGAGAGGATCTGGTCCGATACAGGTCAATTCACTCTAAACTTAAACTACAGTAAACTACGGATATAACGAACTCAAAGGGACTACTATTTTTAGCTCGTTATAACCGTAGTTCGTTATAAGCATATATGCAGCATAACTACAGCAAATAGTCGGGACTAAAAAGTAAGTTCGTTATATCCGTCAGTTCGTTATAAGCGTGTTCGTTATAACCGTAGTTTACTGTACATGTATTATGGAAACTAGCACTAACTTATCCTAATCTTAGGTATTGCATCCAATATTCCCTTAAGATCGCTTCCCTACCCATTACATCACGTGGGTGTTCTAAATGTGGCAGACATGCCTATGATTATGACAGACATTTACTTCTACACTGTGAATATTTTATAAATGATCGAAATTAATTCTTCTCCCCCCTCTTGAAAAACTGGATATCGAAAGTTATGTTCAACTTCTGGAAGAAAATGATATGCCCGCACTATCCTGGGGCTCAGCAAACATACAATCTGGAATTATGAACCAGTTTACATGGAAAAACATATCATTGATATTCTGTGAATATGTCTTAAATTTCAGAAACGTATTAGATTAACCTCAAATGAATCTGTTGTATCCTAATAGTGCTCACTTGTGTACATAGTAAATAACGAAAATAAATGCGTGCGTGTGTGTGTGTGTGTGTGTGTGTGTGTGTGTGTGTGTGTGTGTGTGTGTGTGTGTGTGTGTGTGTGTGTGTGTGTGTGTTTTATGTGTTAATAATGCACCCATCTATATAAATACTAGCACAATGCATTTGCTCTGAGAATATCAGAGAGTTTGTAAATCTTGGGATGTAACGTCTGGAGGAAATAAAGAAATTAATTCGTTCGTTCATTCATTCATTCATTCATTCATCACATGGATGAAACCAAGATCGTATAGAAGATGACTACCAGTCGTGTGCAGCACTGCGAAAATTACACAAAGAGGGAATTCCCGCACAAGTGAGGATGATGTTAAACAATTTGCAGAGTACACTGTACCCCCCGCACAGTTGTACAGAAATATGTGGACCATCTGGACCATCTGGACCATCTGAGGATCAGACTAACATTTAGTCTATGAAATCTTATGTTATACAATATCCTTCTTAACTCTAAAAAAATAAAATATAAAAATAAAATAAGTATATTCCACAGTCATTGTGCAGAACTAGATGTGTATGAGAGATCGCAGTAAAGCGCGATCAGAGTAGAAGAGCGAAACCTGTCAGGAATATCAGGGTGAACTACTGATTTTATGAATATTAAAAAAGACACTTTTAGTGTCAGATTTCAACAAATATTTAAACTATCACAATATACCAAAACACAAAAAATGAAGACGTGAAAAGTAAACATATTTAGGAAGTATTTGGCAAATAAACAGGGCACATGCAGAACAAGGGTCAGCTCGCAGAAGGGAGTCCTTGAAAGACTGTGATGATTCAGAAGCAGAACCATCTGACTGTGATGATCCCGATGAAGCAGAACCATCTGACTGTGATGATTCCGATGAAGCAGAACCATCTGACTGTGATGATTCCGATGAAGCAGAACCATCTGACTGTGATGATTCCGATGAAGCAGAACCATCTGACTGTGATGACTCCGATGAAGCAGAACCATCTGACTGTGATGATTCCGATGAAGCAGAACCATCTGACTGTGATGATTCCGATGAAGCAGAACCATCTGACTGTGATGACTCCGATGAAGCAGAACCATCTGACTGTGATGATTCCGATGAAGCAGAACCATCTGACTGTGATGATTCCGATGAAGCAGAACCATCTGACTGTGATGATTCCGATGAAGCAGAACCATCTGACTGTGATGATTCCGATGAAGCAGAACCATCTGACTGTGATGATTCCGATGAAGCAGAACCATCTGACTGTGATGACTCCGATGAAGCAGAACCATCTGACTGTGATGATTCCGATGAAGCAGAACCATCTGACTGTGATGACTCCGATGAAGCAGAACCATCTGACTGTGATGATTCCGATGAAGCAGAACCATCTGACTGTGATGACTCCGATGAAGCAGAACCATCTGACTGTGATGATTCCGATGAAGCAGAACCATCTGACTGTGATGATTCCGATGAAGCAGAACCATCTGACTGTGATGATTCCGATGAAGCAGAACCATCTGACTGTGATGATTCCGATGAAGCAGAACCATCTGACTGTGATGATTCCGATGAAGCAGAACCATCTGACTGTGATGATTCCGATGAAGCAGAACCATCTGACTGTGATGACTCCGATGAAGCAGAACCATCTGACTGTGATGATCCCGATGAAGCAGAACCATCTGACTGTGATGACTCCGATGAAGCAGAACCATCTGACTGTGATGACTCCGACAGTTCTGATGATGAGGTTGTAGATGTAACAACCAGTTATGACACTGATGGAAATGATAGATATACTAGTCGTGATACTGTTAAAAAACCACAAGACACGGAATGGTTAATTGGGCCATTTTGTTCTCAAATACTAGAATAGACAGATGTATGACAGTTTTCAGGTGTGTACAAATTTGCTGAGCAAACACCCCCCCCCCCCCCCCCCCCACCCCATATATATATATAGAGAGAGAGAGAGAGAGAGAGAGAGAGAGAGAAAGAGAGAGAGAGAGAGAGAGAGAGAGAGAGAGAGAGAGAGAGAGAGAGAGAGAGAGAGAGAGAGAGAGTGATAATTAAATAAGTGGAGTAAGATTGAACACAGTTTTAATTGGCTAGCGCTTTCAACTCGTACCACGTACGAGTCTCATCAGGCGATAACTGAATAACGTATTTATATATATATATATATATATATATATATATATATATATCCACATAACAGGCTTCACATTTCGTATTCACACATTTGTAAATATTATTTTCAGTCAAGCCTACTGAAGTAATTGTAAAATGTATTACACACACAAAATACCACGGAACTAAATCATTAGGTCCATCACAATAGATCTCAACCTTTTGGGGATATGTTTTCAACAAATATATCACCGAACACCTTTGTGTGAACTTGTGATCACATATTTAATACACTCCTCCGAACCCCCAAATACTTTATCTCCGCTTAAAAATCCGACAATGACGGCCCTAGTTAGACTAACATCTTTTGTCTCTGAAATGAACATATCTTACAGAAATAAATACAACAAAACAGTTGTTAAAATTAATCTTAATATAAATATAATATAAATGAGCCCAAAGACTCTTCATTTTCAGATACTGCAGTAATCTAGACTTGCTAAATATTATAGACTTGCATGGGCTGTGTTGGCTATATATTTGTATCAGGGTCTGTATTACGGCCTATATATAGGCCCTTGTGTGCGAACAATGCTGAATTTAAACGGCGGAGCCTGGTTTCAGGATCCGGTTTCACGTTACGGAATATTTACATGATTAAATTGGCGGCAGAAAAGCAGACGGAAGAAAGGATAAATGTGTGTTGTTAACGCGGCATTTGTATAGGAAACTGTGCCTTGACGCTGTTTCATTTTCGTGATGATGTATTGTATTAGCTTCAGGTTGGCAATGCGAGTAACCTCAGCGCGGCGCTAACTGAAATCCGGAAATACACTTTGGGAAGATTTGTTTGACTTTTACGTGTGAACAAACAACATTTTAAAAACCTCCCAAAAAGTTTTGAAATTGTAGTTTTATAGCAGTGTGTCGTCTAAACTAGTCTAAATAACTCCCTGTCACATGATGTGAGCAATCATAGCCGAGAGCCGCGATGGGGTCCGACAGCCAGATAAGATTAATCATTTCTTATATAATAAAAATCCAGGGGTTGGGGGTGGGGGGTAGGGGGGTTGGGTTGGGGAGCGGCAACTGAGTGCTGAGTGCGGCGTTAAACAACAAACCAGCCAATCATTCATTCCAAAATTCATATTCTTCTGCATCCAACAGGACTTCAGTGGTCCAGTGGTCCACGATTTCATAAAAGACAGTGTTCCACTTGGGCCAGCCCGCTATTGTTGTCTAGTGGTAGAGCAACCGCCCGGAGAGAGGAAGGTCAGGGTTCGATCCCCGGCCACGCCAAATCAAAAGACGTTAAAAGATGGTACTTGTTGTTACCCTGCCTGGCGCTCGGCATTAAGGGTCTAAACAAGGACAGGTCAGCTAGGAGTCGGTATACTGTGTCTGAGTGGGGTATTCATGTTAAACTGCAGCATGGTATCTCTGTGGGCTAGCACTGTAAAATCTGACTGCCACTAGCAGTCCAACACACACATGCATGTATGTTGCTATATGAGTGCAGACCGCCTCCGTGGTCTGGTGGTAGAGCGTCCGCCCGGAGAGCGGAAGGTCCGGGGTTCGATCCCCGGCCTCGTCATACCAAAAGACGTTAAAAGATAGTACTTGTTGTTACCCTGTCTGGCGCTCGGCATTAAGGGGCTAAAACAAGGACTGGTCGACTGGTCAGTATACTGTGTCTGAGTGGGGTATTCATATTAAACTGCGGCATGGTATCTCAGTGAGCTAGCACTATAAATCGGCATTAGTCCGGACTAGTACAAGCAGCCACACACACACGTGCATGCACGTCGTTATATAAGTGCAATAATCTTGGACGCGACGTTAAACCCCATTTCACCTCACCTCACCTATATGAGTGCAATAATCTTGAACGCGACGTTAAGCATATTTCACCTCACCGCCACTTGGGTCATTCGTAACTTCAGCATACTTCATCATGCCTGTCACAGGTTCGTTTCTCTACATAGGTAAAATGGTGTCCCCTTCCATGACATTTCGCTGGAATATTGCTAAAAGCATAAAAAAGAGGATATAGAAATGTTTATAAATTCAAGTGTTTCACTCATTGGAATTCTGAATTTGAGTCAAAACAAAAAGAATACTTTTGATCCATGTTTGAAATCGATGAATCTCCTTTGACCATGAGCTAGAAAGCTAGTTGTAATTTAGAAAGTTATTCCCTCATCCTCTTCATTGAGATTCATGATACCCTTTCTAATTTCTGAATCCCCCGGTTTATTTTGTGAGTCATTTTGAGCATGAACACCTATGATTTACGATGTTGTCATATAGTTAACGTGTGAGAAACTACATTTATCCCTGACTTCTTAAAAGCAACATCGTGGGAGCACGGGCGGCCCAGTTGTCGCAGTTCGATGTGCAGAGTTGTGTCCCTTGGCATGCCAGAAACCAATCCTGGCTCACCCCGATTATGTTTCTAGGTTTGTCAGAACCATACCTGTGATCGTGGGTTTCACCGAAGTAGTAAACGTCTGAGACCCGCATCACTTCGGGCTTTCCTTCCACATTCAGCTTACATGCCGTGATTAAACTAGAATACTGTTAAAAGCGGCGTTAAACACAACTCACTCACTGTGGATTATCGTCAAAATGTATTTTTGTTGGAAACTAAATCATTTCCATGTGTGCCCTTCAGACACCAGGGACTGTTTTTAACCGTGCTATTTTGATTTTTACCTTCCATTGGCACTCTAATGCAATGGAATTGAGAACCCCCTCACCTACTCACTGAAAGGCAGCGTGATCAGCACAATTCTTAATGTTGTCAACGGGGCTCTTTTTAGTTGCTACATACTCAGGGATAGGCTGTTAGAATAAGAATTTGACAGTTGTACAATCACTTTAATTCAATCTAAGAATACAACAGATAATTACACTTGTTGAGATCCTACTAAACATGCTAAATATAATGTAAATCTGTTTAGTTTGCAGATGACCAGCAGTATAATGGACAAGCAGTATTCATCCATGTTCTTCGGCTTTGTGGATAGCCTTCAGCAGGTGTGTCAGCTGTACCTAAGCTATGACCAGCTGGTGGAAGTCAGTTGCTATGTCTGTGTGGAGACTGAAATTGTCAGGAAGGAGAGATATGTCCTCCGTGATCTGGAGAGTTCTACCCTTACATCAGATGTAGATGAGGATGAACCAGAAATTTTGTCCCTTGAGATCCTGCACACCAGTGGTGATGTCTCCAGTGACAGCTACTGCACAAAAGTGTCAGGCTGAAGCCCTAATGTCCAGAGAGCTGGGAGTCCTCAGAATGTTCAGCGACACACACATGTTCCAGCAAGGAACAGAAACCGTAGCTTTGGGCATGCAGAAGGTAATCTGGAGAGTTCTACCTTACATCAGATGTCAATGATGATGATGAACCAGATATTTTAGCCATTGAAATTCCAACAAAGCTAATTTGGCGTGATAGGGAACATTACAACAGAAGGGCTAATGCTGAGACTACAAATGTGAAAGCAAACAGTCCATCTGAAGATCAGTGTGTTGCTATGACAGAGGGGAGAACGGGATAAATGGGTCTACAGTCCAGAATCTGATGTCAGTATTGAATCCTGATGACATTTCAGACAACCATTGCAATCCCAACAGTACTCCATGTCCATTCTCCTCAAAACGAAAGGAAAACACAAAGCAGAAGAATTCGGTTTCTTGTATTCTGGATCATAGCAATTCAAACCAGCCTGAAGAATCATGGCCTTTATGTACAGGCAGATGTAATACAAGAAGAGTCCATTCTCTGAATGGTTTTCCTTCCAATCCGGGTAGAGTAGAGCAATCTGCAGATACAAGAAAATCCCTGGTGTTGATGTCCACACTGGTGATAGACAAGCCCCAGTGTCAGTGGGCCACCTCCACAGTGCCAACAGTGTCAACAGTCTGTGGTGTTGATGTCCACACTGGTGATACACGGCCCCGGTGTCAGTGGGCCACTGCTACAGTGCCAACAGTCTAGGGTGTTGATGTCCACACTGGTGATAGACGGCCCAAGTGTCAGTGGGCCACTTCCACAGTGACAACAGTGCCAACAGTCTTGGGTGTTGATGTCCACACTGGTGATAGACAGCCCCAGTGTCAGTGGGCCACTGCTACAGTGTCAACAGTCTGGGGTGTTGATGTCCAAACTGGTGATAGACGGCCCCAGTGTCAGTGGGCCACCTCCACAGTGCCAACAGTCTGGGATGTTGATGTCCACACTGGTGATAGACAGCCCCAGTGTCAGTGGGCCACCTCCACAGTGCCAACAGTGTCAACAGTCTGGGATGTTGATGTCCACACTGGTGATAGACAGCCCCGGTGTCAGTGGGCCACTGCTACAGTGCCAACAGTCTAGGGTGTTGATGTCCACACTGGTGATAGACAGCCCCAGTGTCAGTGGGCCACCTCCACAGTGCCAACAGTGTCAACAGTCTGTGGTGTTGATGTCCACACTGGTGATACACGGCCCCGGTGTCAGTGGGCCACTGCTACAGTGCCAACAGTCTAGGGTGTTGATGTCCACACTGGTGATAGACAGCCCCAGTGTCAGTGGGCCACCTCCACAGTGCCAACAGTGTCAACAGTCTGTGGTGTTGATGTCCACACTGGTGATAGACAGCCCCGGTGTCAGTGGGCCACTGCTACAGTGCCAACAGTCTAGGGTGTTGATGTCCACACTGGTGATAGACGGCCCAAGTGTCAGTGGGCCACTTCCACAGTGACAACAGTGCCAACAGTCTTGGGTGTTGATGTCCACACTGGTGATAGACAGCCCCAGTGTCAGTGGGCCACTGCTACAGTGTCAACAGTCTGGGGTGTTGATGTCCAAACTGGTGATAGACGGCCCCAGTGTCAGTGGGCCACCTCCACAGTGCCAACAGTCTGGGATGTTGATGTCCACACTGGTGATAGACAGCCCCAGTGTCAGTGGGCCACCTCCACAGTGCCAACAGTGTCAACAGTCTGGGATGTTGATGTCCACACTGGTGATAGACAGCCCCGGTGTCAGTGGGCCACTGCTACAGTGCCAACAGTCTAGGGTGTTGATGTCCACACTGGTGATAGACGGCCCAAGTGTCAGTGGGCCACTTCCACAGTGACAACAGTGCCAACAGTCTTGGGTGTTGATGTCCACACTGGTGATAGACAGCCCCAGTGTCAGTGGGCCACTGCTACAGTGTCAACAGTCTGGGGTGTTGATGTCCAAACTGGTGATAGACAGCCCCAGTGTCAGTGGGCCACTGCTACAGTGCCAACAGTCTGGGATGTTGATGTCCACACTGGTGATAGACAGCCCCAGTGTCAGTGGGCCACCTCCACAGTGCCAACAGTGTCAACAGTCTGGGATGTTGATGTCCACACTGGTGATAGACAGCCCCAGTGTCAGTGGGCCACTGCTACAGTGTCAACAGTCTGAGGTGTTGATGTCCACACTGGTGATAGACAGCCCCAGTGCCAGTGGGCCACCTCCACAGTGCCAACAGTGTCAACAGTCTGGGGTGTTGATGTCCACACTGGTGATAGACAGCCCCAGTGTCAGTGGGCCACTGCTACAGTGTCAACAGTCTTGGGTGTTGATGTCCACACTGGTGATAGACAGCCCCAGTGTCAATGGGCCACTGCTACAGTGCCAACAGTCTTGGGTGTTGATATCCACACTGGTGATAGACAGCCCCAGTGTCAGTGGGCCACCTCCACAGTGCCAACAATGTCAACAGTCTTGGGTGTTGATGTCCACACTTGTGATAGACAGCCCCAGTGTCAGTGGGCCACTGCTACAGTGTCAACAGTCTTGGGTGTTGATGTCCACACTTGTGATAGACAGCCCCAGTGTCAATGGGCCACTGCTACAGTGCCAACAGTCTTGGGTGTTGATATCCACACTGGTGATAGACAGCCCCAGTGTCAGTGGGCCACCTCCACAGTGCCAACAATGTCAACAGTCTTGGGTGTTGATGTCCACACTTGTGATAGACAGCCCCAGTGTCAGTGGGCCACTGCTACAGTGTCAACAGTCTTGGGTGTTGATGTCCACACTTGTGATAGACAGCCCCAGTGTCAGTGGGCCACTGCTACAGTACCAACAGTGTCAACAGTCTGGGGTGTTGATGTCCAAACTGGTGATAGACAGCCCCAGTGTCAGTAGGCCACCTCCACAGTGCCAACAGTGTCAACAGTCTGGGGTGTTGATGTCCACACTGATGATAGACAGCCCCAGTGTCAGTTGGCCACTGCTACAGTGCCAACAGTCTGGGGTGTTGATGTCCACACTGGTGATAGACAGCCCCAGTGTCAGTAGGCCACCTCCACAGTGCCAACAGTTTAGTAGTTTGCTATTCAGGTTTCCCTATGTTAGGAAACGCACTTTGGTTACCTCCAAGACAGGTTGTTCTCTCCCAGCTCTACGCTCCTGTGTCTTTATCGCTAGACCGTTTATGGGTAGTCTTGCTTCCGGGTTGTCATTCGAAACCCAGGGTTCATTTTTAAGTGGTTAGTTTTTAAGCAGTTTTAATCTAGTACTGACTTTCTCGGGTTGTATTGAGCTGAACGTATTACCTTGGGGTTTTCTAGTAGTCCGTGGATAACCAACTTTCACCTGATTACCGTTTTACGATTGGGAGATGTTATTCTTTCGGTCAAGTTCATTTTTGATGATTGTGAGTCTGGATAATCCAGAGGTCAAGTACTTTGTATTGTTAGGAAGTTTAGAATTTTCTTGCCCAGTCAAAGGGACTGAGTTGAGTCATTGATATTCCGGGCGTTTTCATCTATTATAATGTCCAAGAGAGTTAATTTAGGGATAGGCTCTTTGTGTTTGTTTATTTCCTGTTGTTTAGCCCAGCCGAGGTTATTCACTAATTAGAGTTAATTACCCCTCAGGTGTTAATTGGTCGCAGCTGACCTAATTGACTTGTATATTTGTTCTGGTTTAATAAAACAGTCATTGTTGTCAGGGTCAATTGGGTTTTTGATCTTTTTATTGTCATCTATACTTACAACTAGCTGATGAGGGGTGTTCGGGTAGCCTAGAGCTTAAAGCATTCGCTCGTCACGCCAAAGACCCTGGTTCAATTCCCGACATGGGTACAATGTGTAAAGCCCATTTATGGTGTCCCCCGTGGTGATATTGCTGGAATATTGCTAAAAACGGCATAAAACCTCACTCACTCACTCAATACACACTGTCACAACTCACTCTCTCACTCACCCCCTCTCACCTACTCACATGTCTCACTCACTCATTACAACTAGCTGATATAATAGATAAAATGGATAGAATGAATTATCATTAAAGTGCCCTCATGTTATCAGAAATGAGCGGGCCACTGTAACTTGATAGTGCCCTCATATTGCTTGACGACGGGCCATTATCACGCCCGACATCATAGGATAGGGATAGGTGACGTCACGTTCAATAGTGACACCATCTGGTTTGTTCTCTGACGTTTCCATATTTGTAAAAGTGGGTCAGTGACATTCGTATTGATTGCAGTCAATGTTTCCAAACCGATATGTTTCTTTTTATCTAATTACAAATTCCATCCATTTTTAACTCCTTCGTCGGGCAGTTAATGGAAAACCTCGCGCTTGTGCAAATGATAATGCCCTGAAAAATAGCGTCACCCTCATAATAATACACCTGTGAAGCTATTACCAATCCTTGTTTTATGCCCTGAATGCCCTGAGCAAAGCAGGGTAACCTATTTTGGTGTCACATGGTGGGGATCGAACAACCGACCCTCAGCTCTCTAGGCAGACGCTGTGTCCACAAGACCACGTAGCCCTATGACATGTAACTGTGAGAGTTGCTGTCGTTTTAGCACTAAGGAACGGGGACCTGGGCTCCGTTCTACAAAGCGATCGCCGCTCTACGATTGCTGTAAGTCAATGTTAAAGTATGGGACTTACGATCGTCTTAGCACTAAGATTGCTTTGTGGAACGGGGTCCTGGTGCATACTGGGCGGGAGTACATTAAAACTTCATTGGGTGTTCACCTCTCACCTTGGATGTGCAAGTTGCTCACATTTGATGGTCTGTGAAGGGTGCAGCATAGGCACCAGGATGAGGGCCAGCCTTAAGAGCCAATTAGGAGTGTGTTTTCATTAATTGTTTTACGGATCCGCCGTATAAATCAGGAAGTTTGAAGGGGGAAAATCACAATTGAGAGTTGTTTATTATTACAGCTGAGTCTGAAAACCAATTTAGCAATAAAACAGCTGACAATTGTTTTCAAGCG